TTTCATTCCGAGGGAGTATCGTATATACGTATGCTTCCTTCTTAGTACGTATGCTTCCTTCTTAGTACGTACGTACGTATACTTCCGATACAGTATGTACGCATCCATTACATTATCCCCGACAGTAATATTGCTTTCAATATTACTCACTATCAGACTGTAGCAATCATATCTTCGATATTCTCAACTGGGGGCTCTTCTTCTGTTGTATTTGCATTAGTTCCTTTGTGAGGAACAAGTTTTCTGATGTTGACTGTCTCACGTACGTTGTCACTTCTTTGCAGGACTACTGTCCCATTAGTATTGATCTCCACAATAGGATAAGGACCATGTAGTCTTTGAGACAGTTTGTCTGGTTCATAGAATTTCATATAGGCCTGCTGTCCAACCTGATACTTGAAGGGTATTCGCCGAGCATTTTCTCTCCTGAGATTTTCATCGATTTGGTGTTGTCTTTTATCTCTGATAAGTTTCAAATCAGCAATGAGTGGGATATCCATTACCATATCCCTGTTGTAGACTAAAGCGCCTGGTGAGGTCTTCAATGCAGCATTCACAGCACACCTGGTAGCATGCATAGCTGAGGCAAGTGCGTTGTCAATCAGCTGGTCTTCATCGAAATCAGCTTCCTCAAGTGATGTTGAGTGAAGATTAGCTCTTAGAACATTGGCAATAGTCTGGTGCACTCATTCGCAGACTGCATTTGCCTGTGGATTTTTCACAGTAGTCTGGACACTCTTAATTCCATATTGATTCAGCAACTGTTTGAAAGGAGTTCCGATGAATTCTAAGCCATTGTCATGAACACACCTATTGGGTCGTGGGTATCTTGACAACCAACAGTTTGAAAACTGCTCTGCCACGTGTTCACTTGATTTATTGTTGATTCTGATGAATTCCAATAGGTTTCTGACTGGATCAATGCAAGTGAGGGCATTGATAACTAATTCTGTTTCATCTGGGAGAAGGATTTTCCATGGACCAATCAAGTCCACGCACACCTCATTCCATGGGGCAAGCTGAGCCTCCCGCGCTGGTAATAGGCCATGACCCTGTCACTATTGTTTGAATCTGTGACACTCATCTGGACACTGATACTGTTTGCATCTTAGGCTGAGTCGTGGAGCATGGAACCTAGCACTGATAGTTTCATATAGCCGGGTGCTGCCACAATGCCCTAACAGTAGGTGATACCATCGAAGGGTTTTGTCAACCAGACCATCGGGCAAGTAAATCTTCCAATCATTGTTGTTATTCATGGATACTGTGATTAAATCAAAGGTTCCTATCTTTCTCTTGATGTAGTGCTCTGGGTCAGTTTCAAGCAGGTATTGGCACTGAGGGTTGGTGAGCTGATAAGTATAAAGGCTTGCATTTGATATTGGATTTTCCATTTCTGATACTGGTGGTAAATTGAGTAAACACTTGTATAGTTCTGGTTCCAAGTAGAATACATCTTCTGGATCCACTTGAGCTGCCAACTCCTTGAAATTCACCATTGTTCCTTTCTTCTTTTCATAAATTTTCTTTTCTTTATCCCCGACCGTGCATGGATCCATTCTGGGCACGCGAGAGAAACAATCTGCCAGAACATTGTGCTTGCCTTGGATATACTTCCAGGTGATATCAAAGCCTTCAAGGCTTAATTTCCATCGGAGAACTCGGGACTGTGATAAGGTTCTGAAGATGAGGTTTTTATGATCAGTGTAGATGATGATTTGGCCACCGTAGAGCATGTTCCGATACTCTTTGAGGCACAGGATGATAGCTAATAGCTCCTTTTCCATTGTGGTGTAGTTCATTTGAGTCTTGTTGAGTTTCTTAGACCAGTATGCAATTGGTCGTTCCTGTTGAAGGATGGCAGCTCCTAGCTGATAATCAGATGCATCAGTGTAAATATGGAAGGGTTTGTTTAAATCAGCAAAGGTGTTGATAGCATCATGKGCGAGAAGAGCTTTCATTTCCTGGAATGCTTGATTGCATGCGGGCGTCCAGATGTAGGGTCCTGAACCAGTGAGAGCAGTTAGTGGGGCCAACACATGTGATCGGCGCGGCCACATGGATTTGTAGTAATTCACTGCACCCAAGAAAGACCGAACTTGTGATTGGTTATGGGGAACTCCCATTTTCAATATCCCATCTACTTTCTTTTGCCAAGGCTTGACTCCTGTCGGGGTGAGCCAATAGCCAAGGAAATCAGACTCCCTCACTGCCCACTCACATTTGAGTGGATTGCATTTCATGCCATTGGATGCTAATCGCTGTAGGACTGGGTTAACTAAAGACAGGTGTTTGTCAAATGATCCTCGGGACCAAATTCCCATATCATCAATATACACCTCAACATCCAAACCGGCTAGAATTTTTGTGATGAAGGCCTGTGCATAGTCTGGAGATGATTTAAGTCCCATTGGTAGTCGTAAGCATCTGTAATTGCCGTGCGTTGTAGTGAGAGTGCAAATCTTTTGGCTTTCTTCATCCAATTCAAAGCAATAGAACATCATTGAGAGATCAATCTTTGTGAAGTGATCATACMGTGTTCTTTGGTTCATGATGTCTTGGATTTTGGGGAGATTAAACTGAGGTCTCCTTATCCTCTTGTTTAATTCTCTGAGATCAACAAGCCATCTGACTCGTCCATCCTTCTTTCAAATGATAAAGGCCGGAAAGCCCCATTCTGAGTTGCCAGTGGGGGC